ATATATAATGGTCTACAACTAATAGAAACCCGATATGAATGGATCAACTGATTTAACTAGAGTAACTAGCAAAACAAGAGAAGATGAAACGAAACCACTGATTACTAGGGCGTAAGTAAGCAGTGTATGAAATTGAATGTAAGGTATTCAAAGTGCAAATTAATGCGGAAACCACTAAATTTTGAATGTTGTATTGTTCTTCATGTTGTGCTAATTTTGTACTCTGTTGTGTGATTTTACTAACTAAACTGTGCACTCCCTGTGAAACCGTAGCACATCTGCTTTTCATGCGTAGAAATTCAACTCGCACAACTAAGGTTGGAGCTCCTGTCCCAAATGCGCCGCTGATGATTCAAGGTCCACCTGGTCCACCGGGGTCTCCTGGACCCCCAGGATTGCCTGGACATGACGGCAGACCAGGTCCCAAAGGTGAACGAGGACTACCTGGTTTTGATGGTGAGAGCAAGGTGAGTAAGTACTTTCATGTACTTTTCCCTCCGTGATTCGAGTTGGTCAAACATGAAGTTTGAGAATGTATCACAATTTCAGGTTGGACCAAAAGGAGACCATGGGGAACCCGGCCGAGATGGGATCCCAGGACTTCGAGGACCGCCGGGCGAACGTGGGGAAAAGGTGCTTAGGTTCTCTTGTTGTTTAAACACTCCTGGAAGTGATTGAAAATGTAAGTACGTCGAAAAAGTCCAACCGGACACCAGATTACTGCATTATGAGGAGTCCAGAATTCACAGTGACCAGTGGGATATAAGGCTAAGCTGATTACGAAAATTATAGGCATTGATTAACTGGAATCTCGATCACGACATGTCCCTGCAAAGCAATTTTGCATGATAAGATTATAATTTTTTCTAGTAAATCGATGACTTTGACCTTTCCAAATTTTACTCGCCTTAGTTCTACAATGAGGACTTACTGTATGGTGCGGGTGAGATTTTCGTAATCAGCTTGTCACTTACCTTATTAGACCACTTCTCAAACAATTCCGTGGAACCACTATAGCATACAATTACCGTAACCTTAGGTAAGGCCCTATCATAACTTTGTTCGTAATTAGCACATCTAACTGCCCTTTTAGGTAACTGTGGGTTCCGATTTCCTCGTAATTCAGAAAATCAAGCTTATTGACTTTTGGCATTTTTACATTTTCAGTCACTTCTATTCTAGCAAAACCGAAATAAGTGAATAAGCCAAGTACGCCTGCACATATTTTGGAATTCTTTCCTGTGATATGTGAATGCTACCCTGGTTTCTTATTTTTAGTTTAAAAAAAAAGCCGCACGAACTTCGACTACCCAATACATAAAAGTCGGTTTAATGCTTTGGTTATACGACTTTGTATGTCAAGGAATCTTTAAAAGTGTCGATAATCTAAGCGCTTGCCTATATCATAACTGCTTTTGGTTGTAGTTACTCTTTAAAAATAGTTAAAATGTTTTTTCAACATGCTTCTTGTGTCATTTGCCCATCGTGAGTGTCGTGTTGTGCAGGGAGAACCTGGAAGCCCAGCTGCTGCTGTTTACGGTCGTCACATCGCCCATTCCCATTCACAGCTTGTGCCCGGTCCTCAGGGGCCGCAAGGACCTCAAGGTGCACAAGGTCCGCCCGGAGTACCTGGACCACCAGGACAGCCCGCACCACCGGCATTCTGCCCTCCTGGACCTCCTGGAAAACCGGGCACTGACGGTCGCATGGGACCGCGAGGACCGCAGGTAGCGTGTTGTGTCATTCGTGACGAGTATTGTGTTCACTGTAACTCGTAGCGTTCATATCCTTTCTCCAACTGACAATTCAAGTTGTTAATATGTTGAGCTGTAGTTTATGGATAGTAGATCTTCTCTAACCGCCTCCATTTAGGGCGAAAAAGGAGATAGAGGAGACCAAGGCGTCCCAGGACCACGTGGAGTGCCTGGCGCACCAGGCGGACCTACCGTATCTGGAGCAAAGGTAAGCTAGTCCTTAATCACATTAGAAAATTAGAAAAGTAAAGCGAAGAAAGCTATCAGAATCATGACATTGAAATAGTCTAAGAATTCAGTGGCTCAAAGATGAGAGTGCCAAAAAGTGGTTTACGCCTATTGAAAGCATGCCATCAATGTCTTGTAGTTTCTTCCTCTTTTTTAAAATTAAC